AGAGAGAGAGAGAGAGAGAGAGAGAGAGAGAGAGAGAGAGAGAGAGAGAGAGAGAGAGAGAGAGAGAGACGTGGGTTCGAGGAAAGAGAGGGGTGGACAGGGTGCAAAAGGGGAGAGGAGCAAGTCAACGGGACAATAGGAGAAGATTTACCCCTTTTTCTCCTGCTGACTTTCAATCAATTATATTCAAGAATGAATGCAATAACAATTTCCGCTAGTCCCCGGACGAGGATGCCCCTCTGCTGAGCACCCTGTCCCATCACCTCTCTCTCTCTCTGAGTCTGACGGACCCATATCTCTCTCGGGCTTTGGTAGGCGCCGGACCCACCAGGTTATGTCTAGGGTGTTTTTTTTTTTTTTTTTTTTTTTTTTCTTCGGTTACACCTCTCGAACATTATCAAACGTCGTAAATTCTACTGTTGCAAAACAGGATGAGGCATTCACAGAATCAAAGTCTCACACATGCTCTCTCTCTCTCTCTCTCTCTCTCTCTCTCTCTCTCTCTCTCTCTCTCTCTCTCTCTCTGCATAGGACAGCGTGAAACAGAAAACAGGGTGATCACTACGACAACGACATTCATAGAAAGGTCAAAGCAAGAAGACACCAGACGTCAGACCAGACAGACAGACATAGGACAGCAGACGAGAGCAAACCCATGCAAACCGAGACACACACGTCAGAACGCGACTGATGGCTTATGAAATTAACCAATACAACAACAGCCAGGGTAACCAGCCCGTACGTACGGAGGTCCCCGTACTTACGGGCGTTCAGGGTCCCGTTCGGGGTCCGAACCCGACGGCGTTCGCCTCCCGCCAAAAATTATTTCGGGGCCTAAAAATAAGTTTCTTTTTCTGAATTTTTTTTTTGTGAGTTCTTTATGATGTGGGGTACCTGCCTGTAAATTTTGAAGTCATTTTGCTAAGCCAAAAAAAAAAAAAAAAAAAAAAAAAAGCCAAAGATGGCGGTGTCAAAAAGTGCTCCCCCACTCACTATTTTGTTTTTTTTCACTTTTTAAGTTTTTACCTAGGCTACCAGCCGGGCCGCCCGGGTCCTGGGTGGCCAGCCCGTGCTAGGATCAGGTAAGGTCCCAGCACAAAAAAATAAAATCCACAAATTCTGAAAAAAAACTATGTTATGCAGAAAAATAAACTGAACAGCTTTTGCCTCAGGGTCACATCGAAATTCTTCACCAAATTTAAAATAAAAAATAAAATTCAAAAATATTTTATTTATTTTTATTTTTTTTTAATTATTTTGGCCCGGCCGGGCAAGTGACCCCGGGCCACTCTGGTAGCCTAGGTTTTTACTTTTTGTTGTTACTTTATTGCCGGTTCTAAACAAATTTATTATTTTTGGAAATTTTTTTAACGAGTTTTATATTATGTGAAGTACACAAATGTTGTAATGACCCAGACCCAAGCCCAGATCAAGATAGTAGTGTCCCAGAAAGCCCAAACAAAGAGACAGCAGACCCGGAAGTAGATGCACAAAATGCATAGTAGCATACTCATGGAATCGACCTCAGCGTACATAAGCATACAACTACTATAGTGATCCCACAGTGAGGGACTTAGTCTCCCGGTGAAAACGACGGATGTGGTGTAAACGGCTTAACGCATTAAACCATCAGTACAAGCCCCCTCCTCCACAATTTGAGGCCGCCGTGTACAAGCGGGCGCACTTTCAATGTACAGGCACTGGTGATCAGTTCGTTCATTCAGGTGGGAAAATTTCCGGAAAAAAAAAAATAGGCTTGGCATTTTTTTACGGTCTGCCACACTCGCACTTCAAGACCTACGTCCTTTTGCCAAATGGAACACCCTGTTCAAAATATTGCCTTGCCTACTCTTAGCAGTATCACAAAAAAAAAAAAAAAAAAAAAAAAACAGTTGCCGTCACTATGAGTTGTAGCCAAGGAAAGATCGTACAACAAGAAAGAAAAAGAAAAAGACAGCAATGCTAGTGATTCCGTGGTTCATTGGGCAAAAAAAAAAAGAAAAAAAAAGAAAGATCTAGCTCCAAACAGTGAAATAAAGACGAGGAAGAAACGGAAGGGTGGGTGGGTGGGGCGTGGGGGGGGGKGGTGGTAGGGAAGTGGAACTAAAAGATGTAGCACATAATATCCATGGATGGTGAGCTATGTTTGATAAAAATATCTGGTCTAGCTACTGCCTTCCCCCGATTAGAGCATGGGGTCATTATTTGTGATCTGCCCTCAAGTCATTCTGAAGCTTTGAAAAAGAGTCTGAAATGCTCTGAATGAAACGCCCCCGTGTTCTATTCAGAATTTCCGAGGAACAACAGCATGCGCAATCCAGAGGGATGAGCATGCTCCCCGTGAACTCAGGTCACAGACAGTGGCACATAGATTACCTGAGAGAATGGGGAAAAGAAAAAGAGAAAAAAGAGGGCAAAAAAGAGGGGGAAAAAAAAAACCAGAACAAAGGAAGGAAAGGGTTCCATGAGACCCTAACCAGTAATCAATCTGTGGCTCATGACATCGCTTGACGGGGAAAGAGGGGGGGGGGGGGGGAGAGGAAGGAAAAAGAAAAGAGAGGACAAGAATTGCACTCTCCTGATCTCCCCTCCTCCTTGGTAAGCTCCAAGAACCGATACAGAGCAGACAGGCATGCTGATTATGTGTTTTTTTTTTGTTTTTTTTTTTTAATGTTATAGGTTCACAGGTATGGGGTTGGCCTTGCCCTCCAGAACAGCTTTTGCATAAGGCTGCCAGAGGTTCACTGCTGAAAGGTCAACCTGCAGCATGTTTGCGAGACCCCTCATTATCACGAGTGCGCGCACAACCAACCATAGTGCCTGATTGAAGGATGCAAGGGGTGTTTTTCTAACCATATGGTCATCGCACATTGGCGATACCAATGCTTCCGCAATGAACCGCGTGTCGAACATGATGTACGCCATTTTCACCACCGCGTCTTTGTCAGGCATGCCTCCGTCGACGTCCTTGAAGATCATGCCCGCATCGGTCACGGCTTCGACAATGCTGTCGACATCTCCGCCGGCAAGCGCAACGACAACTTGCGCTAACTGTTTCCTCGTCTGCTCGTCGAGGACCTTGCTCTGACCAAAATCCAGCAATCCCATCCTCCCATCTTCAAGGAGAAGGAGATTTCCAGGATGGGGGTCGGCATGAAATACCCCGTCGATGAAAATCATCGGACCGTAGGCCTCGACTAGGCGAGCGAACGCTTTCACTGCCATCGGGACCTTCGCCCTGATGTGTGGGCCCGATTGCGGATTGATGATTTGCGTGAACGGAACCCCGTCAAGTCGCTCCATCACAATCAGTTGGGGCGCACACAGCTCCTTCCAGGGACGAGGGCAGACGATATCCACCACGCCGTTCCTTTTCAGGTTCGAACCAATGGTATTCATAAACGAGACCTCCCGTAAGAAGTCAAACTCCAGAGGAATGGTGGTTTGAATCTCCTTCACAACCGGGGTCAGATCGAACGGAAGCTGCTTGCGCAGAAACTTTGCGACCCAGCCAATGTTTCGAAGGTCGGAGTGCATGACTATGTCCATCCCAAGGTGCTGGACCTTGACGACGACAGGCGTCCCGTCCTTCAAGATGGCACGATGGACTTGGGCGATTGACGCGGATGCGAGTGCTGTTTCTTCCACCTCGCGAAAGACGGCCTTAAATAATTCCTTCACCGGACCTGAAGCCAGCAATGCCTCTCCTTCAGCAGAGACTTGCAGCTGATGCTCAATTGACTGTGCAACCTCGGCAAAAGGTCTGGGAGGAGCATCATCAAATAACTTGGACAGGCGCATGGTCCATGCGTGGGGCATAAAATCACCTTTCGAGGCAAGCACCTGGGCCGACTTCACGTAGAAGCCACTCATCTCGAGAACAAGTCGATACACCTTCTCCCCACCCCACTCATGCCTCTCAGCCCATAACTCCTCCCTCCTCTCGGGCGACTTGTTTCGCGCCTCATATTTAGTCCTCATGTAGCCAGCATAAATTGGAAGTAACCTACGCCAGTATCGAAGCGTACGCCACAGATCTGGAAAAGATCTGCGGACAACGGGAGCAGCGAGCGACAGCACAAGCATAGGTGTGCTAAACATTGCAAATGGTTTTGCTGCCACCTTCACCGGTGAAGGGACAAGGACTGCGAGTGGACGGACTTTGAGATTAGCAAGAGACAGGACTCTAAAGTATGGCCATGCTGACGTAGCAAATGTTTTCGCCGCCAAAATCACAATCACTTTCGCGACGAAGAGCAACGCAGAGTTGGCGATCTTGCTCGTCGAGACGGCATCAGCATTCTGAATCTTCCCTTCCACTGAAAGCGCAACACCACTACCACTTACCTCCCCACCTGACATGCCAACCCCTTCCCACCTCTGAGCTCCTGTGAGTGAATTTGCCTCTACCGAGTCTACCCGTCTCGTCCACAGACCAACCTCCAAGATGGGATGACCATTCGATCGACTGCGCAAACTACAGGTTCCATCTCTTCTTCCTGACCCGTGACGCACATTACCACTTGCCGTACCATTCCGATATCCCTGCAGGTTATCTGACGTGCTCGACAATCCCTCCTCTCCTTTCCCCCCCTCCCCTTCCAGTGCTGCTTCTCCGGAGGGACCAGACTTGTGCAACATGGAAAGAAAGGGAGAGAGGGCAGTGGGGCCAGACGAAGAGAGAGATTCGGCAGATGAGCCAATGTGGGAGGCGTTCCTTGGGGAAAGAGGTTGCGACTCTGGTAGTAATGATCGCTTTGATCGGAGAAAGAACCTGAGAGGAAGAACTTTAGAGATGGATTGACGACGTGTTGCCAAATCTGCTATACCATCACCTGACATATCAGTGTCATTAGTGTTCCCCGCACGCCCTCCCTCATAATGCTCCAGAGAGCCATGGGCGAGCTGCTGGCGGCGGCGGCGGCAGTGCCGCCTCTCCACCCTCCTATTCATGCTTAAAGTTTTTAATGTATTGATACGTCAATTAACCAAATAATAACTGCAATAGCATGGTGACTGAACACCTAACAGAAGTGTGTGAGTAGTGACGATATCCGGCAGTTGCTTTGATAAGCGACTGCAAGAGAATGGAGCTGCAACTCAGGATCGGTGTGGACTCTCCTCTGTTCCACTCACTGCGGAAATCGCCAAAATTGCCTCTCAGGTCATCTTACCACTTCACCACAATAGAAATGCTTGACAGGGCTACACACTTGTGATGGAAGTCCGTAAGAGGATGCACACTGAAGAAGTCCATGGCTCCAGGTCTCTAGATCTATGGCAGAAAGCACCAAAAGGAGACCGATCAGGCAGTGTGCAAACAATCATGCACACACATGCTCGTGTGCAAGCCCCCCCCCCCCCCCCCCCCCCACCCACACACACACACACGCGCCCACAAGGGTCCATGCACCCAAACACCCACAGGAGTTCATTGTAATTGTGTGTGGTTAGCCTGGTATGCATGTGTCAAAGTGGTCTTTGTTGAGCACCTCTGATGAAAGCCTTCAACACAGTGAGAAGTCCTACCGTTGACAAGCGCTCTTCACGTATTTGAACACGGACACACACACACTGTGACACACATATCCATCATCATCACACACACACACACACACACACACACACACACACACACACACAGAGAGAGAGAGAGAGAGAGAGAGAGAGA